GTACTTAAAAGATCGTTGTTTTTTTCTATCCTAAGATATGTATAAAGCGATTATATCAATGATCATCTATTTATAATAGACTTACATTAGGTAAAGTAAATAATCCTGTTCTATTATTTGAATATTCATTTGGATGTAAACGTGGTGAAATACGTAATGTTGCTGAATTATCTTTAATATCACAATTAGTATTGCCTATTATTCTTCCATGCATAGGACTTGATATAGGTGTTTTATAAACAGGTGATGTTTGTCCCATATGTTGATATAATTTAGATTGAAATATTCCTAATGTTGTTCGATCAACATAATGTGTTATTAATGGATTTAATTGTGATATTTGTAATAATTGTTCATAATTTTCTTCATTTAATTGTTCAATTATATTTGTTTGATCAATTAATTGATTATTATAATCAATTTTTAATTGTTCTAATTTATGTTCTAAATGACAATTAAATTCGACTAGATTTTCAATTGTTAAAATATCATTTGATGATATTTTACGAAAATATATATTTAAATCCGACCATATACGATCTATACGTGCACCAATAATTGGTGCCATTGAAACTTGTCTATCAAGTAATAAATGTGGACCATGTTGTCGTTGATGATGATGATGATGATGTTTAGTTAATGGTGGTAAGATTTTTTTTGGTATTTTTTTTGATGTATATATACGTTCAGCTTCTTGATGTAAATGAATTTGTGTATGTAATATATCCGAATTATTTAATGATGGATTTGAAAGATTAGTAAAAATATTTTTACGTACTATAGACATTGATAAAAGTGCTTCAAGTTCTTGTTGTACTAATTGTACTTCATGAGCAAATACACCTGCTTGTGTATGTTTATTTGATAATATTTGATCAATATTTGGACATATACGTTCCCAATTAGGTAATATTATTTCATTCATTTGTTGTGATATTAATGAAGATGTATGACGTGATGAAGATTTCTAAATTAAAACAAAAAAAAAAAAACTATTAACATATATTAATTTTACAATGACGCTTAAAATTAATCATAAATCTAATCGATTATCTTGTTTTTCTCATATCTCAAAATAATTTTCTCATTGTGGATAAGGTAGAATCACGATCGGGTTCGTCTTATATATAGATAAGATTACGGATGAAACAGGGTGATTCTAGAACTGGTTGGAAGTTGCAGAAAAACAAGCAAATAATGGTTACTACATTTTATAATTGCGCTTTTGTTTTTGCGTATTTCATCTGTTTTCATGTTCAATTTTAAACGAATAGTTATAAAGAGAAGATTTATTTTAAACTATAGATAACATTGAAATTTATGTAATTACTATGAATCATTTATAGTCTCTCGGATGTTCTTTCATGAAATGAAATTAATTATTTATTAATTAGAAAATTTTTCATAAGTAATTTAGATTTTATCTTAAGATTAAATTAACGTTTAATAATCAACTATTCATTTACAAATAATATTCTCAATTAAATGCCTGCTCGAAAACACTATAGATCATATAATTGTATCATAGAACTAAATGTATGATAATATTTGTACAAAAAATTTATATATATGTCTTATAGATGACAATTTTCTCGTAATTCATTGCATTTCTAATATGACATATATTTCTTTTTCTGATTCATTTCATATGATATTCATCATGCTTTACAATATTTCTAATATACATTCAATTTATAAATCAATCTTCTTTTTTTTTGTATTTTAACTATACGAATAAGAACCAATAATAAAAACGTTATTATTAAAACAATAGTTACTATGAATATAAATAAACAATCAAGATAAGACAAGTGTCATATATACCTAAAATGATTCATCATTTTTATTTATTAATAATTGTCGTCTTTTTAAAATAAGATTAATTTGTAGCAGTTCGTAACTTCTATGTGTTAGCCATAGCCTTAACCCTTAATGGCTTCCGCTTATAAAAATGAGAATCTAATTAGAAAAACAGAGATTATGAACGCTCAGTATACTCGTACTATAGTTAAAAATAATTACCTTCTTCTTATTCTGAACCTACGCAACCTCCTTTGGCAGGAATATTCATCCGTATAAAAATAGGAATTTCGATCCGAAACTTTGCCTTTAGATAGTTTTGATAATACTTAATATACTCCGAAATTTTCACTTAGAACGGATGCTTTCCTGCTGAGATATTCAAAAACCAGCTAAATTTTGCTAAAAACTTCAACATTCTGTATCTCGCGAATGAAACAATAGTTGTTCTTGAAAATTTTAAAACTTCCTAAACACTACTAGGGCTATGTATGAGCCAAGTTTCATATTAGAAATACATTATTTTGATTCTCACCGATGATCATGGCACAATTTGTCAGTAGATCGGTTAAAAGATTCTAGAACACAATGATAGGCTTAAGAGTGTAACGTAAAATAAACTACACTGTATGTTGCATTTCCGAATAGATACAAGTTTAGGGAAGAAAATCAGTCCTAAAAGTTGTTTTGCTACGCCTGCATACTACATTTTGGTCTAGGTATGGCCTCGAAAGTCATAACAATCCAGAAAAATATTGGTTTGTTAATACGTAATAAATATCTTTTATTACATCCAAAAAAACAAAAATCATTCAGAAGATGAAATTTCACTGTGGAAGACAAGAATTTGTTTTTTGTTTATAATGAAATAGAATTATACACATTTATTTACTATTTAGAAAGAATTGATTTATATTAGTAAAAAAAATTCTATTATAATGACTTACACGAGGTGATTGATTATCATTAATTGAATTATGTTCATTATTTGTATCAATAGATGAATTTAAAATAGATTGATTTTTAGATTTTGTTCGTGTTTTTTTTCTAACTGATGGTAATGAGATTGTTTCATTATCATTATTCATATCAATATTAGCATTTTGTGGTGAAAGATGACGACGTCGTTTTAAATTTGTTAAAAAACCATAATCTTCTAATGAACGTTTTTGTTGTTGATGATTCATTTCATTTGTTGTTGTTGACAATTGATTATTGTTATCATTATCATTGTTTGTTATTGCTGAACGTCTCATTATTATATAAATCGATTAATTTCGAATAAATATATCAAATAATAACATCTGAATAATATCGAAAAAACAATGTTATTTCATTGATTAAATAAAATAAGAAGGTCATAAGACGACAAGATGGAAACCTATTTAGTTGTATCTTGATTTGCTTTCTTTTCTTTCTTTTCTTCTTAGTTGTATATTGGTTTGATTGAGAATGTTTATTAACCAATAGAAAAAAATAAATAATAATAGATGACGTTAGATGTTGATCAAAAAGTACGAATATACATATTCTAATTGTTTTGATTAGTAAACTGTACCCTGCTCGATCCGGAGCATGAATTTTGGTATGAAATCATACTCCGATCCGATCCTTAGGACTAATCCATATTGATTGATACGTTTCATAATTCTGCAGATAGTGATACGACAACGTAAACGGTCGTTGAGATTTTCATAAAAGTAAATTTCCATTGTAGCAAAATAATTCATTAAAAACAACAATCAACAAATTATGGAAAATTACCATCTAATGACAGTAATTTTCGAAAAGAAGGAAATTTGAATACTACTAAAAATACGACACTTTACGATTGATTATGAGCGTACTTGTTCGATCTGGACTGACGTTTGATCAGATCGTAGCTTTTTAAAATACTATTACTTTGTCAAATTTTTTAATCATATATTGAAAGATGACGAAGTGAAAAACGATTCTATCAAATTATTGTACGTGAGAACACGTCACAGAAGTGGAAATCGATATTGTTTATTATTTCGAAAGAAAAAAAAAATATGAGTCTATAGAATAAAGTTTTTGTATTTAAAATTCTACTTTTAAGTAAATAACGAATACGACATTGATTTTTTTGATATATTAAATATTCAAATTATAAAAAAAATTTGATGATGTATATGTTTATTTGTTTGCCTTAATCCTGTGTTGTATCAATTAAAACATATTCGATTATTTATTTTAAATAAAAAAAAAATTTTATACTAACTATATCCACTACTTTTGTCATTTTGTGAATAAAAATAAGTTCCTTTATCAACTCGACTACCTAAATTAGGCATAATACGCAGACCAGATTTGAGAATAGCAACAACATCATCAATATTAGTATCATGTCAAAGTAATTTTCGATTTGCAATTTTATCATGTGTTACAAAACGTTCAGCCTAGAAAAAACAATCAATTTGTTCTTTTGACTTACTTCTTCTTCACGATCAACGTGTCAAACAGCCATAATGTTACATTTCTGTATAGTTTTGAATAATCTTAATAAGTGAAGATTTTTGGATTAGAATTTTAAGAAAAACAAAAAAAAATTACTTATCTTTATCGTGTCGAATACTTGAAGCTAATTCAACATTATCTAAAATCTATTAAATAATATTTATAAATCTTCTTTATTCAGTTTTCAAATTTGATTTTATGACATACTGCAAGCATATCATATTTTTGTTGTAAAGCTTCAGGATTATCAATTGATTTAGATCGTGTTTTTCCAAAATCATGAGGAATAATATTATAAAATTTTGATGATTGATCGTCTTTACTTTTACAGCACGTTTTTCGGTTGGCATTGCTTAGAGAAAATTTTTTTTCATTTTCAAATGTAATAAATGGAGGTAAACATCAAAATAGAAGTAGGATTTCACTATGTTGCATTTGTGCAAAAACAGTCAATACTTTTTTATTGACCACATTTTTGGACACTGATGATTAAAAATAAAAAGAGATCGTTTATTTACAACATATTGAAATATTACCAAAGAATTCCAATGTATAAAAAGAAATATTTTCTTATTTTATTGAATGGAAACATACGGGTAAAGAAAACTAACATTCACATACTATAATCATTGGAGAATATATTTGTCAATATATGTTTCATGATACATGAGTAGCATGAACAAATGATTCTTGTATACTTTCACCAGAAATTTTGATGTTACTTTCGTTCAACTTTACTTGATATTGATTTCATGTTCCTTTGTCTTAATATGAAAATTAGTTCAGAATTTGTTTTACAAGTTATTAATATTACAGAAAACTGTCCACTACAATGTTGTTTTTGCTAGTATTCATTTTTCAATAACATCTGTGATAGATTATGGATCATCCATACTGAAACATATCAGTACAATATTGACATTGAGATACAAAAAATCAACATATATTCTCGAAATCTGAAACAGTTTTATAAACAACATTAAAGTGATACAAACTGAAATACTATATAGAATGTTGAATATTCTTCTCAAAAAAAAAACATTGTTCTTTCTTTATTTACAGTTCGCTCGTCTAAGTTGAGCTTCTTGTTATAATAAATTTTGCTAATAGAGAGAATTGAATGATTGCGTCAAAATGATATCAAAAGGCATGACTTGTCAGACCAATAGTCATTACCTTTTGAGTAGTTTCATTAGCTCTAACAACATTAGTCGCCATTTAAAAGTACTTGAGGGTGTGGATGTGGGTGCGCACATTCAACATCCATACCGTGACCTGACGTATCCGACTACTAAGATATGAATGTTTTCTTTCATCGTTCTCATAGACAGCAATGAGAAAATGCAGACATACGTATAAATTGACATGAACAAGACAATTCACATCAGACAAGGACACTGCAAATAACAATTATCTCAATATACTTGATTTACCGAATGACATATTACTCAGCATTTTTAACAAACTGAATACTGTTCATGTTCTCTATTCACTTGTGGATGTTAATAAACGATTTCATCCATTGTTACTCGATCCTTTTTATATACATCATCTTGATATGACTATGATATTGTGTTTTGATCGTAGCTCCGGAATAGACAATAAGGTTCTTAATCGACTTTGTGAAAAAACCTTACCTTGAATTCACTAACAAGTAAATAAATTCACTCTAGAACTATCTTCAATCAAACGTATTCGTCTTGCTGTCAATTATCTTCAGCTTGAGTCGTTATCACTTGTTAATTTTAAAGAAGAAATGCTTTTTTCATATTTAACAAGTATACTATTTGTTTTTTTTTCATTTTAACTAACAAAAAAAAATGAATTTATTTGACGTAAATTAATAATTATTTTTTTTCTCTCGAATATCACACATCTTGAAATAGACATTGAGAAGCAGACAACAATAACATCAGAATTCTCTGAAACACTATCAAATGTATTTGTATCAATTTTATCTTTATGCAAACAATTAATTAATTTGGGTGTGGGTGTGGAGTGTGTAGCTCTTTCCTCCGACAGTAACCACACGCACACTCGCATTCGTCATCATCTGCCTGTAAGCCAGTACCTAAACGTACATTACAGACACACCCACACGCACAGGCGCATCCATTGACACTGGCACCCATACCTCAAGCATAGCCACACCAAGAACTACACCCAATATGTGATTTTGTGTTCAACACAAATTATTTGACAACATTATCATTTTCTGTAAGTGTCTGATTGCTGAAAAACAAAGGTAAGCTCAATTAAGTCTCCTTGTCGCAAGAAAATTACAAAATCAATATCAAATGTATAGTTAAATATGAGAATGAAAAATTGTCTAACTATATTTTAAAAAAATTGAAATTTCATGAGGCTATAAACTATGTCTACATTGTATTGTTTGATTGCTCTCGACATAAGTGATCGAGTCAATCAATATATGAATGACATTCTTTTATATACACTATATCAACAGAAATTGTTGGAGATGAGGCTATTTTACATTAATCTATTTAGTCATCAACGAAATAACAAGTCAATAAATGACCAATAGTCACTTCTTGTTTTGTGTTCTATGAAAACTGTCTTTGTGAGCGCAGTATTAACACATTGATATCCATGAGTTTTCTCTAAAAAAGTAATTGTTATGTCAAGTGAAGATATTACAGGTGTTGTCACACCTTTAATAAACGAAGCATCACACGAAATAATAAGTACAAGTCATGCTACTACTGATAATAATCCGACAACAACTGGTACATCTAGTGTTTTATCAAATATTGGTTCAGGTGCATTGGAAGTGCATGATATTGTTGTTGTCTCTTGCTCAAATGGTAAGAAAAAAATATTTATCACAGTAACAATGTGCAATGATAATTTTCAATAGGATCCTATCGATTAGCACGAGTGTGTGATATTGGTATTAATGAAGTTAAAGTTGTATACTTCATTGGTCCAAGATACAACATTAA